ACATACATACATACATACATACATACATACATACATACACGCACACACGCGCGCGCACACAAGCACACACACACTCTCTCTCTCTCTCACACACACACACACACTCGCACTCTCACTAACTCTCTCTCTCTCTCTGCTTCTCTCTCTGTCTCTGTCTCTGTCTCTCTCTCTCTATCTCTTGCTCATGTAGTATGTCAATCATCTGTTCCTCACCTACTCTTTCTAACACCATAGTCCGTACATTTGTACTATTAACACATCGACAGTACAAATTATAATGCACAGAGTGATCTCACCTGCCACGGCAGCTGTAGCGAAGCATGCCATGTTGCCAATCATGAACGCTCGGAACACCAATCGGATATAGTCAGACTTGCGATCTGGACAGACCTGGACCAGGGTGCCGATGGTTATCCCAATGTTGGCGACCGTATTAAACCCAGACAGCACGTACGTTGCGATTGCCTCCGATCGTTCCTGATCCGGGATTTCGATTTCAACAGCTGTTATATATCTTTCACCATATATGCACTTTAGGCAATGAAAAAGATGGGGCTAGACCCCACATAACTAAGGCTGAGTGGGCTGCGAGTGGGGAAAAAAAGACATGACATTTGCTTCTCCATCGGTCGCTTATAAATGCAAATTTGATGTTCTTTGAGCTGAAGAGAATCATGAATGAAAATGCATTTTCCATAGCTACAATGGAAGATTCTGTTATCTTTGCCATCTCACAAACGCTTCCGTATGTCGACCAAGAGTTGCTTTAATGGAATTGAGATAGAAGCAGGAAACCCATACACTTATTTTTATTTTTACTTACCTAATTTGAATTGAAATGGTTTAAAGAAATAGACGGGGGTAGCAAAAATCAAGACCCTATACACCAACGGCAGGGCTCTTCGCCCCTTGTACACGCAGTAAGAAACGTGAATTCAATTCTCGAGTGGAACTGTATAATATCAAGAGTCTCCTGCTTTCTGATAGAATGCTGTATCTGTCTTAGCCCAAGTTAGTCCAGACAGACAAGTTCGAAGTATTTCGTTTCTTTACTTGTTCATTATTGTGTCGATGGAGGAATTATACATACAACACTTTACCTATAGTTTGAGTGCAAAGGATGCTTAAAGTTAGTCCTACATTTACTGTCATTGAAAAGAAATATGTTTTTGGGTTTGAGCAGAAGGAGAAATGGCGTATTTTCTCCCAACCTTCTGCCCTTTCTATTTGGTTGTCTTTCATACTGACGTTTTAAAGGAATGTATGGTTAATGATAATAATGAATAATAGTATTACAGTTCAAGATGATGCTCTGGAGCTTTAAAGATTTTTTCAAGGAGGAATAGTCAGGAAAATAGAATATATACATGTAGTTTTAAAACCAACCAGAACGTCCTTAATGGGCCTGACGGACTTCACGAAGAAATCTTCGAGCGAGAGCGAGGCTCTTTTTCGGCTCCATTGTCAATATGCTTAGC